AAAAAAAAAAAAAACTACACCTCTACAAGAAAATGACAACCTAATTAAAAAATAGGCACAGGAAGAAAAAAAAAAAAAAATAGGCACAGGACATGACCAGATAAGAAGGGCATTCAGGTGAACAACAAACCTATAAAGAAATGTTCACAATCCTTAGCCATTGGAGAAAGACAAATCAAAATAACAATGAGATATCGTCTCATATCATCATTAACAGCAAAGTTCAAAAAAACAGAAAACAAATGCTGACAGGGGTGTGGAAAGACTGTGACCTTCCTACATTACTGGTGGGACTGTAAAATGATTCAACCACTCTGGAAAACTGTATGGCATTTCCTCAGAAAGTTGACAATAGAAATACCTTATTATGACCCAGTAATCTCTCTACTCAGTACAGATCTACAAGAAATAAGAGCCAGGACACAAGTAGATATGCGTACACTGATGTTCATTGCAGTACTGTTCACAATAGCAAAAAGATAGAGACAGCTATCAATGGAAGAATGGATAAACAAACTTTGGTATATACATTAAGTGGAGAATTATGTGTGAATGATGATGAGTCTGCAAAACACCTCATAACATGGATGAACCTGGAGGACCTTATGCTGAATGAAATAAATCAATCACAAAAGCACAAATATTGTATTGTAAAAACTCAAAAAGTTTTCCTATGAAAAGAAATATTGTTTGATGGCTACCAAGGGTGGGAGGAAGGGGACAGTAGTAATTCATTGACTAAAGGGTAGACACATGTTAACTTGGGTGATGAGGAAGGCAATATACAAGAAGAGGTTGGCTAGCAGAATAATGATGAATAAAGGTAAAGACACACAGGAAGATATTCAAGGGCTAAAGGGGACAGAAGTCAATAGTGATATATACACAACCAAGGAACAGTGTTCTGCGGGTAGATACATGAACAGAGACACAAGTTGAATGGGTATGGGAAGAAGAGTGTAATGTATACGTTCATGTGTGTTTGTATATGTTGTTTTTGTTGTTGTTTGGTGCCATAGAGTTGGCAACAACTCATAGTGACCTTATGCACAGCAGACCGAAACACTGCCTGATCTTGGGACAACCTCACTACTGTTGCCACGCTTGAGTCCATTAATTCTGCCACTTGGCCAATCCATCTCGTTGGGG